GGGGGGGGGGGGGGTGTTTCCTTTAGGACTCCGCCTCACTTTCCCTTGACCGCAGTGTTTCTCAGACGGGGACAATATGGAGGCCGAAGCCCTGGCCCTGCAGTTTGAGCTGCTCCCCGTAGTAACTAGTGGCGGTCATAGGCAGTGGCAGCAGTGGGAGGTGCGGAGCCACGGGATGCGGCACTATAATAATAAGGGGAACCTGAAAGTTAACAGAAGAACGAGCCGTTGGAAACCATGAGGTCAAACGTCATGTAAAACAGGTGTTTAAAGCCCCAAGGACAGAGAATGCATGCATATTTTTTTAAATAGCAAATCAAAGCTTATTCATGCACAGTATGTGTGTTAGATTTCATGATATAAGTCACTTACTTAGTAATGCTGGATTGCTGAACCGCCAAGCTTCATTGTAAGTGGTGTACTGTGGATGAGAGTAAGGGTTTCCAGAAAAGTCCCCTCCTAAAGAAACAGATCAATACAAACGAACATTAGCAAAAGAGCTAACAAAACACAATGAGTGACAACTTGCGTTAAATATGAATCTTCCTTTAATCACTGTTTCATTACGGCTTTGTCACAAAACAATGCTCTTTGAGGCATTTCTCCACACTCTCTTCATATGAATTGAATCCTCTGTCTTCACGATTTACTCTTTTCTTTCCTTCAGTGAGGACTTCTGCGTTTTTCCGCGATGATTCTTCCCTTCAAAACTTCCTAATAAGGTTCCCTGACACTCACTCTCCGGTCGTCCTCCAGTGCAGGTCTTGGTAGAAAGGACAGGGAGGCTGAGGGGGTTGTCGGAGAGCGATGCTGTGGGTCCACAGGTTTCTTTCTTTTTATGAGACCATAAAGGCTGGGTTTTATATGAAGCTGCTGAAGAATGGCCTTTGCTTTAACGGTGTTTGGGGCCAGTCACTAAATCTTGGTCATTCGCCACCAGATGAAAAAACCCACAAGGCTTGGATTAAGAAGGCATCTGTGCTTCTATGTGTTTTACTAGTGACGTATAAAGCAAATCAAATTTTCTTGATTTTATTTAAAATATCACCCTTTACCTCCTGGATATCCTACAATGTTACCCTCATGCGCACTGAGCTCCCTTGTAAATACTGCACGCTTGCTTTGATTATCAGCCAGTGTGAAAGGTACTTGTCTCCGAGCAATAAAGGGAACTGTGTTTTCAGTTGTTTGGAGGAGAGATCTACACGCGCTACAAGGCAGCTATAGCATCCTTTGCTGCTGGTCGTGTAACTCGAGCTCATCCCTGAGAGAGATAGTGATTTAAATATTTACAGGCCCTCCACGCCTCTGTGTTTTGACCCTTAACTGTTTGCTGTGAACCTGAACTGCAGGTTAAGTAGAGGGGAAAGAGATACGCTCCGCAGCCCTGAGTGTCCGGGGAGGCGAGGAGAGGAGCAAAAGCAGTGTTTATCGACGGGGCTGGTGAGAGTGCGCCGTGTGGACATGGCGAGGGTAATGAGCGCTGGGAGCTGGAGTGTAACTGAGAGGAACTGTCCTATCTCACGGCCACTGATTGTGGTGATCGCCTATCGAGTTCATCTAATGTCCTCATCCGCAGATGCTAACCACACGCTAACCGCAGTCTAACAAAGCTATAACAAGCTTCCTTCAATCGTATGAGTCTAGAGCAACGATCTGAGCTCTCCTCATCGTACTGACTGGGGGGGTTTATATGTTTTATACGCATGTGAATTGTCAAAGAAATCACAGAAAAGAAACACTCACGTAAAAAAGTGACCTCAAGTTGTTTAAACAAGAGCAACCTAAGGGGACTATCTTGTGAAAATATGACCTGTAAAAGAAAAATTAATGGCATCGTAAAAAGTGAATTGTGTCACCTACCAGGAACCATTCCAGCAAGTGTGGAGGTGGGGTAGCTGCCTTGTCCTGTTGGGGGGACATGAGGCGGGTAGCCAGGTAAGGTGGTACTGGCCATGTCTCGACCTGCAGGCACACAGGAGGAAAACAGTTACAGGGTTGATTGAACACTGAAATGTTTATATTTTTATTTCTACTCCAAAAAAATGTGTATATAGTACTTATATACATATCACCACTGCCTGGGTTATGATCACAGGCAATGTTTTTTTTCTCAGTAAAGAAGTGTCCAGAGTCCCAGGTGGGGAGTAAGAAATATAATTTCATTTCAGTGTCATAAAAATAAACAAATTGTGCGTAGTGTTTAAAATGATTATGCTTTTCTTATACTTTAAGCATCGAAACATAGAATGTTTAATCATCTGCAAAAGTGGAGAGTTTACAGATACAATATGAAAAGATTATTATCTTCAATTTGCAATTTGCAAGACCTGTCAGTCAAAGTTTCTCCTTTTTGTTGACAGGGTGTATTATGGGTCTTTTGATAAGTATTAGCAAATTTGTTGCATATAAAAATAATTTCGTGAAGACAGGGTAGATCATTTTATCTGGCATTATGGTAACACATTGTTTTTTTTCTATATTGTATTTTTGCACAGCAAAAATGACACTTGAATTACAAGGCAAACACTAAAATCAACAAAGTGAAGTGATGTATAATAGGTACAGATAATAACAAACATTGCTACTGTCTGTCACAAAACATCCCACCATTACATTTCTTTAAGACAGTCAAAAGAAAGCATTGCAGTTTTGTGGAGTTGCATGTTGACCTTCCATTTTCTGAAATGCTCATCCTGCCTGAGACGAGGTGCACCCTGGACGGGTCAACGGTCGACCACAGAGCGATTTGCAATTTATTAACTTCAGGAAAGTTATTCGTTATTTTTATAAAATGATCTCATCAGAGACGATAACTACTATAAGATGAATGTACCACTGTCCTAAGCAGCTTTAAAACTGACAGGAGCATCAGACCATTGAGAGCTCTCTCTGCTCCCTGCTCCACATTCAGCTCCGTAATTAACAGTGACAGCGTCGGGCCTGGCTGGATGAAGGGGCACACAGGACAGGGAGTTGTGGGTCCAAAGCATACCCCAGCATCAGCCCTACATCTCTGCCTCTGCACACCCCCTCCCCTTCTTTTGGCCTTGCTTGGCCCCCCAGACCTCAGGCCTGTCACGAGGCTGGAAGGACTTGGAGGCCTATTGTTAACTCAAGGGATGAGTAAAGGGTCAGAGCCAGAGAAAAGCAGGGTGAAAAGGGGGAGAGAGTAGTTGCTGTTAATGAGGGGCAATTGGTTTTTGCTCCTGTATACACAACAGTAAAGCCACAAAGCATGATGGGATTTATGCATGGCTTTGCAACGTTAAAGGCGGACGCTTTAATTTGGTGTATATCACATAATTATATGATCACAGAATTAAATAGGGAAAAGAAAAATCAGCTGAACAGAATTAGGGTGATTGCACTTTGATTAGGGTACAGGGCCTGGTGGGTAAAGTTGTACCTGCTAAAAAGGGCTGGCTGGCATACTGGCTGTAGCAGGGGCCATGGGCATGAGCAGGATAGCTGGGAGTAGATGCATCTACAGAGAGGCTGCACTGGTGGGGCAAGATGTCAGCTAGAGCAGAGTTTCCAACAGAGGAGGGGGTGAACGGGGCAAAGGATGCCTCATGGGGCTCCCACTTTACACACATGGAAGGTGGATATGAAGGGTGAGAGTCTGCCAGGTGGAAACAGAAAAAAAACTAGGTATAATGTAAAAACATGTAACTATGTAATATATGATCCATGCGTTTACTTCAGTCACTCAGATGTAGATGGGATGGATTTGAGCTTTCTCAATAATTTAACCCTAGTCCTAACCCTAACGTCCAGAAACAAATACAACAGTGACAGGTTACCCAAGCTTAAGCAGATTTGTAGTCTGAATTAGGGAAACCTGAAAAATGAGGAACCCTTTAAAGGGGTACACATCAATTTCCTTTCTTTTACCAAGTCAAGACCAGACATATGGATGCATGTGAATTTTAAATAGATGAGCAGTCTTTAGCAGTTGATTTGTTCACTCGCATAGCTTATAATAATAATAATCTCATATGCATCCAGCAGTAATTCATTCAACTAAGTGGAAACATACACCAGTGAAATGTTGCAACAACAACAACAACACATCGCGCCTGATCAATCAAGCTTAAATGCATAAAAAATTTCCCCAAGGTTTTGGGTAAACAAACAACATAATCTCACGGCTGCTCCCTCAAAACAAAATCACTCCCACAAATAACCAAACAATCGGCGCGCAGACAGTTCAGAACTCTACACTTTGATCTAATTTGGCTGATGAGTTTTGGCATCTTTCATTTTCAGCTGCTCTGCCTCTCAAACCTATGTAATCAATGTGAGCTCTGTCTCCGGCCTCTCCACGTCTGCTGTGGAGCCCGTTTTATTCAATGGGGCCTTTAGGGAGAGATGGCTCTTTCCCGACACCATGATAGCCTCATTAGCTGCTTCCCCCATCATTGTTGTTTTACAACAGGACTGTGTGTTTGCGATTCCTCATTAAGATAAGGGCTGTTCTATGGAAGGGGGATGTAACCCTGTCAGCCCTATGAACCTAATGCCAGGGAAACAGGCAACATAACTGACTGCTTTCCCATAGAAATCTATTGCAAGTTCTCCAAATCTCTTTCTCCCTCTTTTGTCTTTGTGACAGCTGCAACTGTTGATTTAGACACAACTGCCGCAATTACACTGGATACCTTCATCTCATTGAGACAAACACCATTGTTATTGAGGAAACGACACAAGTATAACAGTGCACATTTTTGACTTATGATCTCATCATTAAAAAAAGGAACATTTGCCACGAATCTCTGGCGTGAACAGAAATATTCTAATGAATGGGCGCTTTGCACCTAATTGGGTGGACCATGACTTTGTCACATGCACTGCACAAGTATGTCATGAATTTATGGGAAACTGAGTCTGCATGTGGAAATGACTGCAAATGGCCAGCACTCAGTTCTACTCTGCAGTTAATTATAGCCAACATGAAGTCTGTTAAAGTGTTTTAAGTTAGGACAGCTTTCAAAAGTCCAGTCACGCTGTTTGATTTGAGTGCATAACAAAACTAATTTCCTCAGAAAAGCAGAATTTACTAGGACAAGACAGTCGTTAATAATACTTGTAAACCTCTTTCTGAAACAACATCAATACACCATGTACTACACCTAGGTATTGGGATTATACATTCACAGGACGTGTAAACCATTTAGCAGGAATCCAACAACCAACCAAGAGGCTACATTGTAGGAAATGAATCTAAATTTAAACATGATAGTGAGTCTGTTTACACTGTATGTGAGACTTCCTGCAGAATACTGGAGGCCGCTTTTTTCTCAGCGCCTGGGCAACCGTTGTCAAACAGACAGGGGTTACGATGCAACAACAACTGATACAAACGCTGCGTTCAAGACCACTGAACTCTGAAACTAATCAGACATGGTGTTGCTTATTGTCCTGGAGACGAGGCAGAGCCTGGGTAAAGGGAGCCTGTCAAATCACAGGCCCTGATGATGGAGATGGAAGATAAACTCAGGGTCCTTGGGGACTCCTCTACCCAGCAAACACATCTCTGAGAGAGTGGAGACGCTATAGAGTTCTCCAACATCTGTCTCTGCTCCACCACTGATACCACGTCTACAGACCCCATCAACCATAGAAATGGACTGTTAAGAACCCACAACAGTGCTTGGCGTGATGTGCCTGGATATAGCTACAACAGCCTTCTCTCAAGTGGTTTTTAGTTTTTAAACGTCCACCAAGGAACTCTAATGTGCAAACCCTTTACTGGCAGAACTCTGTTTTCAAAGGCTGACAGTCGATCTGCGGAGAACTTTTCATTCCTGCTGAATGTTGAAGATTGAGCAAAACTTCCAGATCATCTGGAGACGAGTCTACAGAGACAATTTGCGGCAACAGGTTCACAGCCATGTTTCCTTCAAATTCAGCTAATTATATTTCTACCTTTACTTTCCTGCATAGAGGAGGTGGCCATTTATAACCACTTAAAAGAAAAGGACAAAAGAATTGTCAAAGGCTGCATCATATCCTGAGTGAGTAAAGAATATTTGCAGGAACAAATAGCTTGAATTCCCCATCCACGTGTTTAAAGTAATTCATTATCAAATGTGTGCTCAAAGGTTAGTGTGCTTTTGCGGGGGGGTTGATATAAACATTAATTTCCAGGCTTGGGGCTGCAGGCGTTTAACTGAGCTGAGACAAGCCGTTTGTCACTAGGCCACACACCAAGCACTGCAGGTTAGGGGGCTTGCTGTTTGAGAGTAGCTGGTGCTGCCAAGTCATAAAAGTGGAAATTAATTTGAAATTAAACCTTATTTTTTTCACCTCTTCTCTAGAGACACCAACATATATGAAGACAGAGAGTGAATAGCACCGGATCTTCAAATCTGCTGGAGTTGTAGTAGGTCAGAGGGGTGCCCATTTACACCCAGCCTCCCTGCAGGCACCGGTGAGAGTGATTATCAAACCCAGCCTGCACAGAGATGTAACCCTGTTTAACCACAGCTATTAAGCAACATTATACAAAATAAGAAAATAAAGCATGTTCAGGCTACTGTTTGTTGCTCAGATATTAATAGAAAATTGTGGCAACAAACAAGTACTGGAGCAGAGCCAGAGATCAGGGGAGTTCACAGTGTTCACCTACTTTTGTGTGACTGCACACACACACACACACACACACACACACACACACACACACACACACACACAGCAGCTTTTTTTGCTGTTAACACCAGAGCAAATACTGCATAATGCGCACTACTCAAATTTATTTTATTTACAAGTCAAAAACCTTATTTAATTGTAATAATTTGTCACTACAATTGTAACACTACAGTTAAGTTTAATTCAACTACTGGAAATGGGGAGATATCCATTGTGCATGGGAGGGAATTCATTCTCTCATTAAATCCCAGTGATGCATTTCAGTGCCCTGAATCTCTCCCTCCGATTTGGCTGTCACCCTCCTTCTGAGGTAACTGTCTCTTTCACACATTGGGGTAAACAGAGGACACAAAAGATGGCCGACATTGCTTTCACAAGCGCCCTTGGAATGCTAAAGCGAGCACTTCATTAATCATTCATCTTTAATAGATTATGCAAATTTCAGGACATAAAAATCAACAAGATCAATAACTGTATGAATTTTAATTGGGAGCAGAAAACATTTAAAGAATGAATATAATCTCGTAGCTCCATCCAGTACCAGAGCATAATTTATTGATAATTGGATCTCAGCCTAAGTGAGGAAGGTAATTTGGCTTTTTTTTTCTGCCTTGGCATACATTCCTATTTACAGTGTTTGCTAATGGCAGAAAAAATAATATTATGCACTAACAACCTACAACCAATCAAATGCTTCATGCATTACTTTGCATAGTTGTGAAAATTAAGTAATAAAAGTTTACTGGATATTACTTCTGAGTTTAATTTGAAGTTCAAACACATTTTTTTAATTTGGCTGTAGCAGAGTATGTTGTAATATTCCACTTAAAGTTTTGTTGGTTAGCCTCCTCATTATTCAATGTACATGTATCGCCTTAGGCGCACCCCCCCACCCCCCCTCCAGGCCCCCAGGTGGCTTGGAGGCCACCTGCTATGAGTGTGCTCCCCCGAGCGAGACCGCTTTCAGAGGAGGAGCCCGGCATAAAAGACAAAAACACACCTTTCTTCTCCTGAGGCCCAACTTTCTGGGGCAAATCTACCTCCCACATATTCAGGAATAAAAAAGGGGTCTTTCTTTTCCCATAGCTCAATGCTGGGGTCCAGGGCTGGACTATAGGGATCATTTGAGAAGGGCTACTGCAGTTTTCAATCATGCTGTCCTCCTCTTAACTCTGTCTCTCTCACACACACACACTCACACACACCACAGTGGACTCATTGACTTGCATGCCCACTGCATAATTATGGGAGTTTTAATAAAAGGCTGGTATATTATTCTGGAGTCAACGTGGCCATCAGTAAACCTAACCTCTCCAGGGAAAGCGCCTCAGCAGCCACAATGAAACAATATTTCAATTAACCAGGCAGCCATCAATGTCGACTGCAGAGTGAAGGAAGCCAGTGTGCAATGCAGGGTGGGTCAGTAGGGTTACATGGTACAGATAGTTAATACTACACACTATTCAATACACTGCACCTGCCATTACCTGTTGGCTCTCAGTGGAAGTTACAACAGAAAGTTCACAAGTTGGAAAAAAAACAAATTTGCTGTTTCTTTAACTGCGTGCGTCTCGTCTCTATCTGGGTCGTTCTCTCTCTCTTTTTCCCTCTCTCTCTCCACAGCATGAGGCAGCCAGCCAGCCGCGGTGCCGTTCCAGCCGCTGTCAATCAACAGGCTATCATAGCCTTTGATGACAACGTCGTGTCGCGGCGAGAACAGCAGCTGTCTCTTATGAGAAGTGCTCCCAGTCAATCTGTTAGCGGGCCAATCCGGGCTAACACAATAGCCAGTTAGGAGCAGCGTGCGAAAAAGACTTGAAGGATTTAATGGGCTCAGATGATATATCACCTCGCTCTGGAAATAAACACACAGAGTGCCTCAAAAAAAAGAAAAGAAAAAAGTGCCTTGAAAAAGCTTTTTCGTTCGGTGATAAGAATTTTATATATCGTGGGAAAATGTGTGCACCATCAGAAAGTGGCAGTGAGAACTGTAAAAAGTAAATGATAATGTAATATCTTAAATAAGAAGTAGCTGAACTGGATTATTGTCTTCCAATTCTCAGCTCACTCAGTCTACCAAATTTCAGAAAATTATAATAACAGAGAATTTCTTTCTTTCGACTTTAGTTGTAACAATTTATTCGCCTAGGATAATACACAGAGTGAGTTATTATATGTAAAACTTTATCCCAAAATAAATGATTCATTGTATCGGGTAATATATTATAGGTAGGCGACTATTTTTCCAGCTACAACTTCCTCCACTTGTGGATTTTTCTCATTGATATCAGGGGTATGAAGACGTTTTGAGTAAGCTTTAGTAAACAGATTTGCTAAGTAGATATAAAGTGACAAAGGATTTGGTTGTACTATGTTAATACGGACTGATATTATATGCGCTTAGTTTGGGACAATTGCTCTACAAACTACAAAATCTTTACTGGATGGATACAGTGGAAGTATCCATCTATGTTTGCGCTTCGAGTCTTGTTAAGTTCGACCACCTTGTTGCGGAAATGTCTTCGACCTGCTGCAGGCACGTGTATTCTTCTAGGGATCAATGTAGCGTGAGTCAGATTGTACCTGTCACAACAGAGTAGCTCTGGGACACACTGGAGGCGAGGTCGGAGCTGGCGCTGGTGGAGAGGCTTGGCTTCACGTCTTCCAGGCCAGCGTTCAGGGACGGGAGAGAGTACTCATTTGCCTGAGGAGAGGTGCACAAAAACAGCTACTGACACTTTTGTAGAATAATCTCACATTCCAACATACTGTGATCTGGGTAATATCCCTTCCCCACCACATGCAAGCCCACTTCTGGTTACAGATTTGGAGCTGATCTCCCAGTATACGTGACAATATGTGAAACATGTCTGAAGATAACCTCTGGTGAATGCAGGGAAGCTGTCTGTGATCCTCTCAATGTGTTTTATTCTCCATGTTTCCTGTGAATTCTGCAAACACCCCTCCCCTCTGAACCCAAACTGTCCCTGCTCCCTGTGCTTTTACCAAGACCCATGATGTATGCATGCATTAGGGCTTGTCTGAGGAGAAGGCAGAAAGGGAGAGAGGGATGAGAGAGGGATTGGGAGAGGAGTGAAAGGACGGGGTGTCAGCTGGCTCTTTGTGCTCCACTGCAGTCATCCCTGTGACCAGTCAAGGGAGGAGACATTCAGGGCTTTGTTACAGGAGAGACATGTGGTGTGTTTTTTAAAGGGGACTACAACCTCAAAATCAACCTTTGTGCTTTGCCTCCAGGATGAACACATAAAACTGTGTTAATAAAATGATAAAATACAGAGTATGTTTTCATGCAGTTCACATTTTTATTAGTAGTTTTTTTTACTTTACATTGGAGGGTTTTCATTACGTTTTCTTTTAGCCGTGATAAAACTGGATGTGAAGCTGCAGCCATCTTTCATGTTATACACTTAATAATTCAAAAAGCATCGGTCCACTGTGCTGCACTGGAAAACTTCTGTCTCTTTGGTGTTTATCTGCTTTAATCTCTCTACAGCAGCTGTGATGAATCCTGTTTGATAATGAGATGACACTTCCTCTTCTTTAACAGGATAAGTGTGTGTGCGCACATTTGTGTCGGTGAGTGTTTGTATCCGACTGCGTGTGTGCATCTGTTTGCCTCAATGGGATGGGGTCCCACAGGGGCAAACCGGTGACCCCGGTCTTGTCTGCTTCTATCCCAGATAAACTCTAATTGTCTGCTTACAACTGTTCCCTGGCACTAGGCTGGATGTTCCTCTCTATTCCGCTGGGCCTCCACAGCACAAGGGCCATTTTGTCATGCAGATGGGCTGTGGGCAGGGCTGGGCAGGGCTGGGCGAGTGGCGAGCACAGAGGGGCCTGAATGACCTGACCACATGGCTGCCAGAAGTGTGGGAGGGATGAGGCCTATTCAGCCTGGCCTCTTCAAAATGGCTTTTTAATACCCTGACGCAGACACCAGACAAGCCCCTAATAGCCTAATATCCCACCTTTTCACCACTTTAAGAAAAGGAGGGGGTGTTGGACACAGGGAGAAAAAAAGGAGGCGCGCAGAACGAGTGGAAAGCAGCCTGATTAATATTACATCAAATTAAAACTGATTTTTCTGGACCATTCTGACGCCGTTTTTCTCTCCCCTCCTCCACCTTCCTCTCGCCTTTTTAATACCTTCTCCTCCACTCTTTGTGATTGCAAGTCATTTCCAATTCGTTTTGGTATTGATCTTGCCGTAGAAATCACTTTGGTAATTAGCTGCATTAGGGGCTGTAGAGCTGGCTGAGGGGCTGTCCCTCTGATTTATCGCCGCTGTAATTCCCCGCGATCGCACAGAGATGAAAATGAACTCAATTAGGGCACTGCTAAGGCTGCGTGGGCACCCATATAGAGTTCCAATGGAGAAATTAATAGTCTCTTGTTGTTTAACAGTCTAATAAATGTAAATATAGGTTATCCGCTGTAATAGGCTGTAGGCTTGTAGTTTGCCTTCAGCAAGAAGTTGTGCAGAGCCTTTTGTTGCCTGTGTCAGAATGTGTATCAGGTTATAGTATTAGAAATCTGTGGGAATTATGTTATTGTTGACTATTACTTAAGGGGAAACAGGAGAAAAGCTGCTGGGCTGTAAATGTCAGTGTTAGAAAGAAATCTGTTTGGCCAACCTGCTCAGGTTTGATGTGTTCTGAAGTGGGAAAGACATCAGGGTAAGATGGACGTTCAAACACACGGTCCAGGGCCTCCAGCTGCTGCTGGGTGAAGGCATCTGCTCGCAGATGCTTCCTTAAACTCTCCACACTGCCCTGAGAGTCGCTGCCGGGACCTGAGCCATCAGAGCCATCTAGAGAAAGAAGGAGAGGAAGAATGGAAGGAGGAAGAGAGGGCAACAACATTCTGCATCAGGACCTGGCTCCATCGTCTTTTTTTTTTACTTGTCATTATTCTAGCAGGCTGAGATAAGCAGGAGGAGAACATTTTCGAGCTCAACGGGTGCGAGAGTGATGGCACGAGGAGCAGCCGTAAATTCAGGGAGACCCAGCGGCATGTCTGCGTTTTATCTCCCTCTCTGCTTCCCACTGTCTCTCTCCTGCTCTCTCACACATTCACTCACTCCAGCAATTCTCTGCCCCCCCCCCCTCTCCTCGTGGCCACCATCAGCGCGGTCATCATGTGATAGGTCTATGGTAATTGATGGATTACCTTCAGTGCAAATATATACTTGTAAGGGAGAGCGTGTGTTTCAGGTGGTGAAAGTGGGGCTGCCGATTACATACAGAGCCTCTCGTTCTGCCAGCGGGAAATGGAGAGCCATTATTTAACTGTACTATTTCCTCGTGAACATATTACCCTTCCCTCTTTCTGTCTCTCCTTCTCTTTCTCCATCTGCCCCCCCCCACATATTGCCTGTCTCCTGGAAAACAGAATGGAGTGGGGACCGAATGAGGACGGGGCGTCGAGGGCAAGCGTATGCATTTCCTCACTCGGTCGCACTCTATATAAACAAATGAGCCTATGCTTCCCTCGTTCTCTTGATCTCTGACCCTATCAACTCAGCCAGGGAGCCCAGCGCTGCCTCTATCAGCTCTAACCTCTGCTCACTCATCAAGTCCTGAACACTGAAGCAAAAAAAAAGAAAAAGAAATCGGCTAAAACCTCCAGCCAGCATCCCAGGAACCTCTACTCCACTGCCTGCCTCCCGCCACCCTCCCTTTCCTCCCTATACCCGACCGCCAACAGCGGATGAGGGCTTTAGCTACCGTACAAATCTGTCATTCTAAATTTGCAGCAGATTATGTTCTCTCCTGGGCGAGCCAGCGGTGATATATGATATGCAAGGCCGCTATTGATTGCCTGATCCGCCAGCAGAGGAGGGAGGCGAAATGAACTTGGAATGAACATCATGCCTCAACTCATTGTGCGTATAATACTCTACTTAATCCCACATTTTTCTGTGCTATGGAATTCAATTGATCAATCATGTTCCACTGATGGTACCATTTCAGGGGCGTTATTGCCATTCTGCTCGGCTGCTTGACCTTTTTTCAATGGCTGAGGCCAGAGGATGAACCCGACTCGCACCAAGAAATAGATCCATGGAGGGAATGGAATAGAACTGCAATTGGGTGTGTGTGTGTGTGTGTGTNTGTGTGTGTGTGTGTGTGTGTGTGTGTGTGTGAAAAGAGAAAAGTGTGTGCTGGTGGTATATGTGAATTTCACCACTGAAATATATTGACTTTAGCTTTGTGTAACATTTATGAAGGAATCCATTTTTTTTCTCCTTCCACGTGTGTTTTTCCTTCCATCAGTTAACGAAGTATGTTAGCACAGGCTTTTATTTTTTTTTCCAACAGCTCCATTGGGTGAATGGTTGGTGTTGGTGGCGGAGCAGCATTAGCGTTTGCTATATGAAACTCAATTGTTGTCTGTGGTACAGAAGAAAATAGAGTCATTAATTACCTTGTATCAGCTGGTCTGAGGAAAAAGGCGAGTTCAATCAATAGCGAGTGTTTGTCATTCACAACGGAAGAGCATATTTATACTGGCAGCCAAAGGACATAGATTCCCAATGTAGTATATTTTTTTTCACTTTCTGTGATGCAAACCTAATCAAAAGCCTCTCTGCCAAAATTAAAAGCAAATTCTGGAATGTGGAAATTGAATCGACGAGAAATAAACAACAGCTAAATCTATATCTTGCGACACATTGTGCTCCTGCCAAGGAGATTACCTTTTTTTGTCCCACATTTGTTTGTTTGTTAGCAAGATTACGCAAAAACTACTCAACCGATTTTCATGAAAATTTGTTGAGTGGTGAGGCATGACCCAAAGAAGAACCAATTAAATCTATGGTGCCGATACAGATCAGGGGTTATTTTCCCACTTTCTGTGAGAAACAGTGTTTTTCTACATTTTCCTTGATTTCGCTGGAAATGATACATGGATCTGGATGGGAAAAAAATCACACATGATTAGGGGACTGATATTTATGAGTGTGTGCCAATTAGTGTGGATAGTCAGACAGTCAGATCCAAAGTTTCATAAGGGGACTGTTGGGCCTTGGTAGAGGTGCCATTTTAGTTAAAGGTTTGTTTACTCTAGTAATGTTTTAAAAAAATAGTGATTTCTTTTATAAAATCTTTCATCTCTGGCTCTTCAGTTATGTATGTCAATATATTTCAAATTTATGTGGCCAAAAAATGAAGATATGGTCGTTAAATTGAAATAATAGTAAATCATTTATTTTCAGGATTTGCCATTAGAGGCTCATGTTTGACATATATCATAAGATAGCTGCAATAAATCAGATTCATCCTTTGACAGTCAGCGTGTCAAGTGGAGTGTGAAGCCCGACTGTCAGATGTGTGTGTGCGTGGGTGCGTTTGTGTGTGTGTGTGTGTGTGTGAATGAATGTGTGTGTGTGTCTCATTGACTGGATTTTTTTTTCATTTTCTCACTGTTTCTTCAACCCCTTTGGGTGTCTCAGCAGGTATTCTCTTATCAATCCCACAGCACCAGCTGACTGCGTCTCTTTGTTTTAACACCAAAGTGCGAGGAGACAAACCAAGATAAAAAAACAAAAAAAACAAGCCTCTCCAACAGTGATGTTCACACATCATCCCCCCAAAAGAAAATTCTGTCTTTAAGCCATGTTGAAGAGACGGATGCTGGTCCAAAAAAAAATCAGACTGCAAATTCAACGAATGGACATGAAACTGCAACTGGTTAAATATAAAAGTTGTTGAACACCTTCAGCAAGCTAATACTTAGTCTTTCAGCCATTTGTACACACGCTCACAAAGATTTAACCAATGACACCAGCGACAGTCACTGTGAAGCTGACTACAATGGTATCAAAAGCTGTCTTCTATCTCTTCTTGTCTCTAAGGGGGATGTTAACGTCTTGTGTTGGCAAGGTGGCACTTTATGTCCTTCTTTCATCTCCCCTGCTCCTGTGATAAGATAACAGAGGAGACCAGAGGTGGGGGGGGGGGACTTGTTTGAAAGGCAAATGAATTCCTACACACCGGCTGGCTCGCTCCGTAAATCAACGACACAGGGTTTCCTAGATCAGAGGCTGCGGGTCGACCGTTTACCTATTCGTCCTCTGCTGATGGGCGGGATGATGCTATCGCAAATTGTGGATCATTTGTTGCTGTTTTAAAAAAAATGCAGTTGAGCTTGAAAAAAAAAAAAAAAGAAAGAGAGAGCACAAACAAACTGGTATACCCAGAGGGTGAAAACTCCTTCGCTGTAAGCTATATTTATGAAATCTCTGAAGCGGAAAGGAGAGAGGTGGGTGGGGTGGCGGAGAGAGAGGGAGAGAGACAGCAACACTGCCATGGCTGTTAAGATCCTGTTATGTTGTGGCGTGTTTAAGAGCTTTATTAATTCGATTTAGCACCACCAACCAGTGTACTGAGTGTCAGCGGGCGAAGTGATGCTCATTTGATGTTTGCACTCACTGCTGAGGCACTGAGGCTCCATGGATAGTATTTTTGCAGCACTACTTATTTTATATACTTTAATTCAAATTCTCAGATCCAGGCCAGAGCCAGAGGTTTGTAATGACTAAATAAAAGCACACAACTGTTTGGATTCACTTTATGAGCGGCGTCTGTAACTCAACTCGATTGAGCTGGTTGTTAATCGTAACGTTGGTGGTTTGTTGGTGGTTAGTTTTCCAGGCTAACTCGTCTCCTCCCCACATGTCAACGTGTCCTTGAGCAAAATGCTGAACTACTTGTGATGCTTGTGAGGAAAAAAAAAAGAGTCAATTTGGACAAAACTGTTTGCCAAATGAAACTGATGTAATATTTGCAAACCGTTTGAAACACAGTATAAAGTCACAATGACTGATGCTGACACGTTAGTGATTTGGTAAGAAAGTCACCTGCTGTATGCCAGTGCAGTGAGACTATTGCAATAAATTCTGTAACGTCTTCAAATAAAAGAAGGAATCAAATCAAGCAAATAGCTTCACAAAAATCAAGCAGAAAAAAACCCATACTATTTTGTGATTATATATATTTTTTCACTTGGATATATTATAGAAAAATGCTTTGATATGAGGGATATTTATGAAATATTCTCCCTCTTCTCTAACTGTCCTTTGTCCTCCTCTGCTTTCATCTCCACCCTCCTCTGGACCAGTCTGTCGTTTAGCGTCTCCACCCTGTGTGGCGAGTATTTGTGGAAATGCAATTAACGTATACGCTTTCTTTTCTCTCGCCATTTCTCCCTCCTCAAGCTGAGTAATGCACTGCTCCATTAATTCTTGGCATCGGCGCCCCTAATTGACTTTTCTCTGACATGATTCCTCTCCACTGAGTGAATTCCCTCTCCTTATATTTTTGTGACGGATCTCATTGTGCGTTGTTTACAACTATATACGGGGGTCTCACGCAGCCACAATGCTGAATGTAAAGGACTCAGAGGGAAGACAGGGAAGATGAGAGGAGGAATGAAACGTTGTAGGGAAAGAACGACAGAGATTGAGTGCAGAAGAAGGAGGGGGAGAGATGCAGCGTGGACCCTTTTGTGTCCTCCTCCACTGTCGGGGCCCTAACAGCTTCTTGTCTCTATGTTACGCTCTGTGGCCCCTCTCAGGCCTGAGCTTTTCTCTGGCACACACACCCCATCAGGGCCATCATGGTGCTCATGATTCCATTTATTTCTGTCTCGCTCTGGATGCATTTATTTTCTAAAGCGATCCTCTATTGACTCATTGTCATGGACTGGCTTGACTAGCCAACCAGTGTAGGCCCAGGTTCAAATCCATACACTAACTGATCTAAACTCCACAAATGGGTCATATGTGTAAGAGATACACAGAGGACAATCTCCAAAAGGGCCAAATCTCAAATTTGAACAAATCAACAAGGTGACTGTATTCATTTTTTTCCTGCAGCTATTGAACAAGGTTGATGTGACTCTGGTACTACGATCGTTCTTTTATGTCATGACTGAACAACCTGCCAGGGCCATATTTTTCCTCCCCGCTCACACACTCATCAGCTCCTTCTACACTCATCCCACACCCACGCTACAATCACAAGTTATGACCTTTGCTTTCTCCATCTAATTTATCACTGTAGCTCCCTACTGCCTGTCCTCCCCACTGGGCTCCATCCAGGACGTGGTAAGCCAGCAAGGAGAGAAACATACACTTAGGTCACATCAACCTGACTGCATGCAGCAGCAAGGTCAGGAAGAAGTTGTTAAGAAAATATAAATTTACATAAAGTTGCAGCGCTAATAGTAACAGCATTTCTTTAATGAAGGAGAACAAATGAGAGCAGACATGCGCAATAAAAAAAAAATCATCCCTGAGAATCCAGCGGAAGGCCGCAAACTTTTTTATACAAATGCATGGACCTTCAGCGTGATATGGTCCAACATCTGACAACCTTGCAGCAGTCGTCACCCTATCCTCCCGAGTCTTTTCTTGGCTTCCACCTCCACCATAGGTTTAAATGACTGAGTTTGAGCGTGCTGTACAACAGGCTAATTTCCCCACTTCACTATTAATGCATTTGGCAGGAACAACATCCCATTTCCTGTAATGAGATACACAAATAAATCTGGCTGTGGATAGATTTGGGGTGGGGTGGCGGCGACGGTGGTGGTGGTGATGGCGGTGGGAAGAGGAGGAGTGGGGGGGGTGGAGCAAAGGAGGAGGAGGGGAGGGCGCATTGAGACGCATTCTTCCAGCTCTGGCATAATTGGTATCGCTGCTTGCAGACATGCAAACCAATCTCTCCACAGATAGGGCTGAGACTCTCTCTTTCCCCCCTTAAGGCTATTTCTTTTGTCTTTTCGATAGCTTGCACATCCGAGATAGAGGGAGGGAGGGAGTGGGGGGGGGGGCGGCGAGATGTTAATTTGTGAATTAATGGCTTTTCTCCGCAGAATTGCAAATTCTTTTAAATGTCACTATGTTCACTGTGCGAGGAGCATCCGGAGCCACAGAGTTCCTACGTAAAATGCACAAACACATTTCCATGCACAGGTGTGTGTGTGTGTGTGTACACATACATGCACAAATCCTAAAACTAATCCTTGCTCAATTCTCATTCAGGCTGCCAGGACCTCCTTCTTCCCTTCTCACCTCATAAACCCACTTTTTTTCTCTCTCTCTCTCTCATCCCTCTATTCCCTTCTTCTTCCTCCCATCCTCGCTCAGAGCCGTCCAGTGTAACATGCTACTTTTAATTTGCAATAACACATGACAAGGACAGATTAATGGCTCTTATGGCACCTATGTCCCTGAAGCTCGTCTTACGGGGACCCGGTGTACATAACGCGTGTCACACTACATTATCTCTACAGCCCTCCAGTAATGGGGACCTTTTTCTTCCTCAAAGGGCAACCACTGACTTCAGCCACACCGGGAACACACACCTCCGCAAACACCAGCAGTACAAAGAGTGTGTGATGCACTTCTTTTTTTTTTGGTCAAATGAGCAGCAATAGGCACAGACATGTTAAAGCATTGAGAGTTAAAATATTTGATTGGTTTACAGACATGCAAGAAAGTCCAGGTCTCCCCTTGTTTTTCATGTATTTATCCACTTTCCACTTTTTATTTGAATAAGTAGCCAAGGCATATGTTCACATTTCTACTGTGACATATTCTTATCCAGCTCAGATGCACCAGACTCTTTCTACCACAGGTCATTCTGCAGCAGCGACTATAACTGTAACTGTTTTGTAAAATAACAACAAAGATGAGATCATTTTAAAAATATGGGTGATGGAAAATTTATCAAAATAACCAAACACAAGAGGTGCAGTGGCTTTCTTGTCAACACAGGCCAAATTAAGGCTAAGAATTATTATTATTATTTTATTAGAATAAACTGCATCTTGTTGAAAATCCATATTTTTTCCTGACAACAATTGTGAATATACAACACTGTGCATCACTGTGTATTGAACTGGATGCTATTAAATGGAAAATAAGGTTTTCCACGGTCACTTTGATTTAATCCATTTTAATTTCTTGGCAGATTATTTATTGGAAAAAAATCCCTCCCCCGCCTGCCGTTAATCTCATAACCCCTGGAAGAGCGACAGCAGCAGTTGAGAGAAAAGTTTTGTGATCTGATTGACCAAAGCAGCAAAAGACAAGGTTATCTAACTTCAACTTACAATGTCCTATTTTCCTTCCATCCAAGTGGTTGCCACTCCAGAGAACTAAAGAGACAGAAACATAAAAGAAGGAAGTGGCCTGTTTTGATGAGTGCTCTTTGAAATAATTTCAACCATATAATCCCATCAGCCACCTCAAAGCAGCACAACAGAGTCACACAAACACACACGCACACACACACA